GTTATTTTACAGGGAGTCGTTTATTTGTTTATTTATTTGGGTTGAATTATTTTGCTTGTCATTATTTTTATTATTTTTTATTGATAAGATAATTGAAGCTATTTATTTATTTTTCGGGTTCATTGTTTTAGTTTATTCTAGCAATTATTTTGGCGGGAGCAGTTCTTAATTTGTTTATTACTTCATATATTTATTGGATTGATTATCTTTATTTATTTTTTCTAACGGTTAATTTATCGAGATCGGTTTGTTAGTTTATTTATTTTATTATTTTGGATGAATTTATTTATTTTGGGTGAATTCAGCCCGCTGATTGCGTCTAGCATGAAACAGACTGTCGCCTCTGAGTGTTGAGTTCAATGTTCACTTTTGCATTTACATACGCTCTATCTCGGATTTATCTATCCCATAAACATAGCACATGCTAAAAATATATTTTTTTTACACACACGCACTCACACACATATATATAGGTATCCCAACTTTGACTCCTGGACGAACATTTCAGGCGTTGGTAAGGAATTCAAAAATCTGTCATCCCACAAGTGAGACTAGATATGAGGGTGTGACTGAAAAGCACATAGCTTGACTTTAAAGGGGTGATACTAGAGCTGTGAAACCTTAGCTGCATTAATTACAAGTCTTTTTATTATGCTTTGTGATTTAACGGCTGTCAGCAATGTACATCCTAAATTTGGTTAGATACTAAAATAGACTGAAGTACGTTTCTATTAATACACGTCTTCTTTTCTCTCTGTTTAATATTTTCATTTTATTTTTCCTGTATGTAATTCTTTTTGCTTAAATAAAGACAATTTCAATGCACATAAATGATTTGATGCTCTGGGACGCCTAAATAAATCATTTTTTTTTTTACTTAATCTCGTTTCAATTCCAACACGCAGTTTTTTTGTTTTGTATTTTTTTTGAAAACGAGACTTCATGCGATATCAAAAGAAACATTTGTCGTTCTTTCTTTATATCTGCCATATCGATCATCTCTGATCGAACATTATTTTTATTAAATTCACAACGACAAGCAATGTATCAATCATTCTAAACCCATATTCTTCCGATCTTCAATTTTTACAATCGGCTTTTCTGTCTTTTGAATTGCTTCTTCTGTTAGAGATATTCACTAGTCAGCTTCGTTTTCTTTCTTTCTTTTTTATTTCTTCTTCTTCTTCTTCTTCTTCTTCTTCTTCTTCTTCTTCTTCTTCTTCTTCAGAATCAAATGGATCCAGCAATAAGTCATTTGAATGCTAATTCTTTTTGATGACACTGTGCGTCCGACAAATCTACGTAAAAACAAAATCTGTTTATAGATTTTACTCGGCTCAACTTTTAAAGTCTCAACTTTTCTTTTTTTTTTTTTTATTTCTCATCCGCCACTTTTACGCTCTGTCCATTCTTTATTTTTCTTGTGTCTTCTTATTGACATGGCACTTCCTTATTCTTGCTACACAGAACCAATACTTGCTAACTAGAAATTACCAAACACACATACTGAAAAAATTGTGTTAACCCCAAAATGCAGATTTTGTGATAAATATCCAGAAGCAATTGACCATCTTGTATCAGGTTGCACGGTATTTGCAACCCACTGAAGATAAGACTCGGCACGACAGAGTGGGCCAATATCTGCACTGGAAAATATGTAACTTTTATGGGAAGGAAACTGCTAGAAACGGGTAAGAACATCACCTAGACCCGGTTACAGAGACATAGCATGTAACAATTTTATGAGCCTTTACAAGACACACAGACAGAATGATCAAAACTAATTGACAAAACATCGCCATTAAAGACCATAAGAACAGAATCTACTTTCTTATTGATATGGCAGACGCTGTAGATTGTAATGTATCTTTGAAGATCTTCAAAATACAAGGATCTTGAAATGGAAATCCCCAAAAACATGTGGTATGTGAGGACGTCAATATTTTCAGTTGTAATTGGAGCCCTCGGATTGATTGGAAAAGGTCCTGATAGACTCACTGAAGGGATTCCTGGTAGCCCGTATCTTAAAGAAATACAAAAAATGTACTCAGAAGTACAGCTCAAACATTACGAAGAGATTTATTATATGTAAAATGTGTGTGATCTTTGTTTTTTTTTTACAGAAATGATCAGTGGAAAATTTATGACCTTAGGTCTCTGGTTGGGACCCGGAAAGATATGTGTATACAACATAAATCAAAGAGAATAATAATAATAATAATAATAATAATAATAATCTTCCATCATTAAACAAAGCCAAGAAATGTGAAACTCCTTAGATGTAATAGATACTCAAGAGGACATATATCCTGGACACTCCCTCCCGACACTGCAGCAAAGAAAATAAGTTATGGGTGAAAGTTGCATATATGAAGACACATATATAAAAATGAGGCTCTAAATCCTTGTATTTAAAGTGTCTGGGTGAACCAGACATCGATGTTCAGCAAACCCACCAATGACTTAGAAGCAGTGCTCTTAAGCGGGTGGGGGGCAGATGGCCTTATTATGGCAGCACAACATCAATATCTTTCAACTAATGCCTACAAGGCTAAAATCGACAAAGAGATCTTAAATCTTGCCCGTCGCTTATTCCATAAATTTGATGAAATTGTTGCCTACATAATATCAGCGTGCTAAGTCCTTGCTGATAAAAAATACATGATTAGACATGAAATGCAAGAGACAATATATTCATTAGCACGTCTGTTTAAACTATGAAATTGAAGTCCCGTTTATATGAAACAAACACCATTCAAATGTCGTTAAAAATGGTGATGGAGTGATTATAATGTAGAATTTGCCAATCCTCACAGAATTCCAAAGTTTCTAAACAAAGAATTTCAAAAACCGTCAAATTATAAGAAACTGAAAATCGAAGTAGCAAAAATCTGGAAACATAAAACGATTATCCATATTGTGATCGGGACATTGGATAAAAAAAGGGGTGCTGAAAATTATGTAAGTAAAATTCCTGGACACATCAGCACTATGAAACTACAAAAGTATACTTTGTTCGTAATTGCACATATGCACAAAAACCTCTCCATCTAAATGAAACGTCCCATATGTGCATAGATCACTCTCCTACAATGGCTCTTTTGCTCTTAGGCACCGGTGTGGACTTGGTAATTAGGGCCTTAAAATTACTTAATTAAGTTCTATAAGTTCTATGCTAACAGTTTCTTTTCTCGTACTTCTCGCGTGTGGAACTCCTTTCGGTTCCATGCTTTCCAGCCAACTTTAATCTGCAAACATTTAAATGCAATGTCAATCACTATCTACACTCCTCCTGAATACTCTTTCCTCTTCCCGCTCATTATTAATGTTTCTCTCCCTAATTCTTCCACACTCAGTAACCCCTTGTGTCTTTTCTGCCTTGCATGGGGTGAAACTGATTAAAAAACAACAAAAAACATGCAAATTGTTAATATGAGGATTAGTTTATGCACTTCATGATATGAAAGTCAATCATTTATAGCGCCAAATAACAACAGAAACAAGAATTCCGCTTCCATTCTCATTTGGAGAAAACGTTTAATGTTTGATTTTACAAACGAGGTTTTCAATCGTAAGTTTCGGCAACCAAACTCTTGGCCCTGCATTTAAAGCTATTCAAATTTTTTGTGGTCAAAACTTTAGGTAAGATTTACAATTAGAAAAAGATTATCATATAAATAATTAATTAACGTGAATACGATATTAGATAGGGAGAAATTTGTATTTCAGATTTGTTAAGTCTATTAACGGACACTGGTGATTTGGTGTTAAGTGTTATAACAGAGATTAGCTACTTTTGAAATTATCTGTTCTATAGGTGTTCGTGAGGAACATGCTTCTTCCAGACCTCCTAAACTGGCGCTACATATTCACCAAGAACTGTACCAATTAACAGAAAGCACATCACTTGAGAACAGCAACAACTAAAATGGATAGCACATATAACACAAAGAGAAAATAATGACATGATCAAGACGTTGATGTTCTACATTTCTTAAGATAAAAAAATTAGGAAAGAAGACCCCGTCATTAGTGGAAAGAGCAATAACAGTTATTGGAAACCTTTTTGTCCTGAAAAATTGTTTCAGGAAAAGGATTTTATAAATTTCAATCGAAAGAAGCACTGGCTGCTCGGTCAATGAATACTGAATGTTTCCTTATAAGGAAACGGTTTATATTACCAAAACCATTTTAATTTGTGGATTCTAGATGATCTCGAACCTCGACCAAGTCCATCAAGAGGAAATACGCAGCTATCCCAGCCACCAAGCAGGTCTATAAATGTAGGTAACAATAGGTCGAGTAAGAAAACGTCTTTTGGATTCAGTGTATAGCTGCTCTTCTGAAAGAGTTTCAGTTTTAAGCGAAACCTTTTTTTTTTTAGACGCCAAAACCTTTGAGGCATGTAGACAAGCAAATGCGAGAGTCAAAAATAAAACAGAGGATTTTTACTAGCACACACAAAACAAAGAGAACTCAGGATGACTTGTTTTGTTTCATTTCTTTGTCCTGAGAAGCGGCGCCTCAGAAGAGGTTTATTCGATTGTTCTAAGATCTATCTTTTGATGCTATAATGTTGATCAGAGAGTTTATACTCTTTGATGTAATACTGACCATTGAAATGAATAGCTGACCATATATTTGCATAAAATTAGCATATAACTTTTTGTTTCTCTATAAAATGTATAGGCTGGTCGGAAAGTAATGTTGCATTTTAGATTGATTATTGTTTCGTTTTCGACGGATTATCAACCTTTTTGCAGGTTAGTTAAAGCCGGAAAATATGATTTTTAAATTGTAAGAATTTTTTTTAGATAATAACGGTTTAGGGATACAAGACTTAATAATTAACCCATAGCATGAGAGAGAAGAGCTGGATCTATAGCTTTCTCAAGGTTGTTTGCGCCTAAGTAAATATAACGAAACTAACGGGAACTAGAATTCGTCTCTCCGATTAACAATTTTGAGACATTATCCATTAAACAGCCTCCCCATCCGAGCTTACGGCACTTGATATTTTCAAGTGGTCACCCATCTAGGTACTGACCAGGCTCGATGTTGCTTAACTTTAGTAATCAAAAGGCAACCGGTGTTTCAACGTGATGTGGACGTAAAAGTTCACATTTTTGAATCCGGAATAAAAAAAAACTGTTCAGATGTCACAAATGTTACAAATTGTATAGAACCTTGTCATCATCATCATTATTAGCCTCACGAAACGAATTCCTTTCTTTGTTGAAAGAATTCTGAATTCTTGAAGAATTTCCTGTTGACCAGATCAAAAGATTGTTTCTTGGTACAAATCTTCGTTTTTGATTCATTCAGGAGAAAAAGATTTATTTATATTAGCCTTGTCTTTTATTCACAGAATAAAAGGTTTCAGTGAACGGTTAGTAGCACATATGCAAGATTAAATCTCTTCTTAAGGTTTGTATCTTGGGCCTTTCGGTTAGATACTGACAAAAAAGCTCCAACCCCACCCCGCCTCCGGATACATTTCAGTGAGTGTGAAGGGAGATAATTAGTGTGCGTGTGTGTGTGTGAGAGAGAGAGAGAGGTAAAGAGAGTGCATGAACGGTGTTATTTACTAAAAATATACACAGACCCCCTCTCTCCTTTTAGCCACTACAGTTATTGGGAGAATATTAAATAAATGCAAAATATAGAATGAATGTTCAGATAGAATTTTAGAAAGACAAGCATTCCATGTTTATTTAAATGGGGTTTTATAAGAGTAAAGATATCTATAAGATATTAAAAGGGCAGAGATATTCAGAAAAAATTCTCTACCTATATAAACGGATTGCTTGGAAATTTTGGATACAGTGACACCGCACACAAGAATCACGTGTGTGTGTGTGTGTGTGTATGTGTGTGTGTATGTATGTGTGTGTGTGTGTGTGTGTGTGAAGAGAACGTTTATTTCGAAGCGATCTGTTAATTCGTGCTTATTCTAACATTTATTCTTTAATTGATTGAAGTGTTTAATGAACGACTGTATTTTCTATTAACAGTGTATCTTAGACACCATATATATATAAAAGGGAACATTGAAGTCAACACTCAGAGGTGACAAGCTGTTTTATGCTAGACGCAATTGGCGGCCTGACGATTGCGTCTAGCATGAAACAGCCTGTCGCCTCTGAGTGTTGACTTCAATGTTCCCTTTTTATATTTATATTTACATACGCTCTATCTCTGATATTGAGAACTTTCTACAATAAATATAGCACACCTTAAAACTATATATATATATATATATATATATATATATATATATATATATATATATTATTATATATATGTATGTATGTATATGTGTGCATGTGTATATATATATTTGTGTATTTGTATGTTTGAAATAGGATATAGAATCCCGACGAAGTTTTTAAGAAATTTGACAAATGGAAAACGTTTAATTTAAACTAGATTCGATTACGTGTTTCGCCTTTCTAGGCTTCATCAGATCTAAAAATGAAAGAAAGAAATGTGTGTATGTGTATTTGTGTGTATGCTTAAATAATAAATCATTTTTCCCTAAGCAGGCGTTTCTCATGATTTCGAAAAAAGAAAATGAGTGACTTTTAAAAAAGACGTTAATATTTATTCTGTATCTTTTCTTTATAATTCTTAGTTCATGTCGAAATCTGTTAATATATTTTTCAGATTTTTTTGTATTGAATTAAAGAAAAATACTCGTCTAATTTTCATAAAGACTTGAAAGCAAGAAATTCATATAGCCTTTTCTGAAACGAATCAAAGGCAAATCTACACCTAGTCCTGGGTTGAAAGCAAAAGATTTATGTTTTACGTCTATCCATGTATGTATTTTCCATGACGAAAAGTTGTTTAAAATACAATATATATATATATATATATATATATATATATATATATATATATATATATATATATATATATATATATATATATATATAATAAAAGCTAACTTGAGTCTGATTTGGAATCTCTTCGTCACCGAGGCCCATTTGGAACAGTTGGTATAACAACCTAACTGTCAGTGTTTCAATTCTCGGTAGTGGATGCGCACTGCTAATGAATCCCAAATATAGGACGAAACGGCCGTCCAGTGCTTTCTGTTGAGGTTTCTATCAGACTCGATGAATTAATTATATATATATATATATATATATATATATATATATATATATATATATATATATATATATCACAGTGTGCGTGTGTATACACTATATATTGAGATACTTTAAGTTTCACTCTTCTGCCGCTTTTCTCTTGTCGCCCTCATTAAAATCGTTTCCCTATTGAATGATGGCATTTCTAGTAATATGCTCATGGGATACTTTTAGTTATCCGAGAGGACAAAGAGGTGACGGACAAAACCAGAAAAGCTACCACATTGTGCAGTCGCTGAGGACACCGATGACGTCACTAGCATGAAGCAACGCTCGCAATAACGCCAAGATCTGTTATCGTCTGCTACGTTTGGAATGTTCAATGGCTGTCACCTACTGAGCGTCGTTTCTACCTTCAGGCAATGTCTCGCATCCTTTTCTATCCTTTGTTCTAGATTCTTTTATTTTACTCGCCAGTTTCTCTCAAACAATCAACTCCCAACCACATCTCGAAATGGTCAGCAGATGCAACCAGCTTTTCTATTTTCCATGTGTTGGCATCTTCTACGACACGATACCTCTCTCTCTCTCTCTCTCTCTCTCTCTTTCTCTCTCTCTCTTTCTCTCTCTCTCTCTCTCTCTTTCGTTTCAACAGTCAGTGATTGTAATTGGAAAGGCAGTCATGCTTTTACCGTTTGCGTGTTTCTTTCTCCTTCGGCGCTCAATCGTGGAGTAATTCATTCATAAGCAGATTTCATCGTTCATTCATAAATGTCTCTTGAACGGCCGACGCCCATTCACTTGAAAGATATCATCAAAGTTTATGGTTTGGCATTTCTTTTTTCAACAATTATCCGCTTCATAATTCAATTTACCTAAATCTACTTTTCTATCTATCTATCTATCTTTCTATGTCAGTCTGTTCATATCTATTTCGCTCTCGCCCTCCCCCCCCTCTCTCTCTCCCTCTCTCTCTCTCTCTCTCTCTCTCTCTCTCTCTATATATATATATATATATATATATATATATATATATATATATATTATAGGTAATAGATCCGTAGGTCTATAATCCCGGTGGATCCTAGTAATATCAAATATTAAAACTGATCCACAGAGAGCTGAATGCATTTATTAAAACATTTATGGCTCTATATATATAATGTTTATAATAATGTTTTACTGAATAGTGGGTATAAGTACACTGAAATCAAGTATAGGAAATATGATGATAATGGTCTAAAGAAAAGAAATAGAAAAAGGAAGATCATTTGGTATACATTCCCCATTTAATCAATTAGTCAGTACTAAGTTAATCCATAAGTTCCTTTATTTGATTGATAAACATTTTTCTTAAAGTAACTCTCTTAGTAAAATATTTAACAGAAACACATGAAAACTAAGTTATAGCTGCACCAATAATCTTGAGAAGATCACAAAGTTAAGCAATAATAAAATTTTAAACCAATTTAATAAAATGGATCATAATTCACGTTCCAAGGAAAATATTATTGATGATACTGACCAATGCAATTGTAGAAATTCTGACCAATGCTCATTGCCGAACAAAGTCTCATGTTTATTTTAGTACTATCACTACAATAGAGAATCCGACGGTTGAAAAAAATTATATTTGTTACTACTATGAATTCTTTCAAGACTAGGCGGTATCAACATATCTTATCTTTTACCAATGGAAATAATACATCACTTTCTAAATATTTTTGGAGTTTAAAAGATGATAATAACACTCCTAAGGTGAAATAGACAATTTTAAAGATGGCAAAGACATGTACATCTGTGTAGACATGTAGATGAACCCTGTTTTCTGTGTTTACATGAAAAACTCGAAATCATCAGATTTTTGACAAAAATCCCTTGTTAAATTAAAGAAGTGAATTAACTGTAAATTGTAAATGTAGTTTACCTTTTACAATTTAGTTAAACTTTGAAATGTGATAATGTTTTTATTATATTTTAGTTGTAATGTGTGGCACTATATATGGCTTATCTTTCTATTTGTAACATTAATCTGGATTTAATATAATTTTGCATTAATCTCCTGGTAGTATTAGTAACATCTGTAGAGATGTATTGGTATTCGGTTGCTATATTTTGCTTAGTGTTCTTAACATCTTATATGAAAGATCTTTATTTAACAGTTGCATATTTGTTTTATTTTACAAAATAATTCTATATGTTTAAATTATTTGCTAGTTTCTTAAAGAAGCTATTTATTTATCAACTACCAAAAAGATTATGTAGAAAATTCACAAAGCATATAACTTGTTAAGCCTTTTGTTAAATTATCTCTCCATCTCATTTTTATTTCTTAGGAAACTGCATTGTCTGGTTTGTATAATTTATGTAATCATTTGTATCCGCTTTATTTTATGTCTGGCTGCCGTTAGCTGCCAATCTACGAGCCATGACCCATTGATAAAAAATAAGTTTTTAATTTTTTCTTCTTCGCTTAGTTTAAATTTAAGGTAGATCATATTTGATTGGTTGATCAGAGTAAAGCTCACAAACCTAAAAACCCCATTTTAACTTTTTTCTTGTAAAAAGAGGTTGTATTTTGTTTTTAAAACTAAAATCACTCACTCGCCAGCAATTAAAAATTGTCTGATGAGATGCACTGATACGCATAGAAACACGACTCCAAATGTGTAGCGATTTTTACATGTTTTCGGTGTAATATCCTAATATATATATATATGCAGTTTCTTAAATCTTCAATATATATATATATATATATATATATATATATATATATATATATATATATATCGTAAAGTTAATAAATCTGTTGTTATATAATCCAAGTGGATCCTAGTAATATAAAATATTAAAACTGATCCACAAAAAGAGCTCAATGCGTTTACTATAACAGAGCCAATAAATAATACCTATATAAATTTTAATTCTAACAAACCCAATGCCATTGTGAGACACATAATCAACATTGTCGGCACTAAGATTAGTCGATTATCGTCCAACATAATCAGCATTAATA